ATACTGACCTATCCAAACTTTCGTCACAGTTAGGACCAAATATTTTGGGGAAATATTCTGGAAGGATGCGTCCGAGCACAAGATTAGCATCGGTAATCGACAGTTGTCTGAGATATAAACAATACTAGAGTTCCTGTGTCATCTAGCCTGAGCACAGTTTTGGATTTTCCCAAACTCACCCTCCCTTTCTGTAGCAAACGGGACCTGGATGAGCCCCAACACTCTCTGGGCCAACTGCGAAGATTCCGTTTGCAAAGAATAGTCGCGAACCGCCACCAGCAGCTACAGTATTGATATCAAGCTAAAAATGGTGAACCTTCGAACCAACTCTGTTTTGTGAACAATTCAAAACCTTTGTCAATATTTTTTCAAATAAATGTGGAAACTGTCTTGAGGACATTTTGTAATATTCAGGCAGTGAGAAGGCTTCCTTTTTATGTTTCACTTCATCCAGATCTGACCCATAAGCGAAAGTTTTATCTTTCTAGGAATACTTATCCTGTCGAAAAGTTTTTATCAAACGGTCTAGCAAACAAACATTATTGCAAAATATAATACAGTTGAAGGTATAGAAACTTTCGAGTAAGTGCTGTGAAAACGAAAGCATTGGTGCCGTTTCTTCGACCCCACTTAAATCTACGACCTTTGTCAAGTACTAGAAACTTCTGAAACGAACGGAGCTTGGTAGCACTAGCCTAATAGCCGAGAAAGAAGGTTTGGCATACTCGGTAGGTTACAATTGAAATATCGACTTTTTCATTGCTGTAACAATCTCAAGATGTGCTTCGAAAATTTTTCTTGTTTCGAGCAGATTCTTCTTTGACAAAATGATAGCCTATGCTAACGGACGTTCGTGAGTGGTGAGTATTACCTGAGGAGCTTGGATGGTGACTCCAGCGGTTGTGGTTTCCATAACGTGCTCAAGCGCTCCGGAATATCGGCAAACCTGAAAGGGAATCTTAGTGCAAGGGTGGAAAGCTAGAAAAATGTTCTCTGCATTCATGGTCTTAAAGTTACTAATTTGTTTTGTAAGTAAATTTTACTTTTTTACAATTCTTTAAGCAGCAAAGAAATGAGTCGCGAAAGTAAATTGAGTATTAAATTTGAATAGTGTCCTCCTTGTAT